CAGTGACTGTCACAGTAGAAAAGTTATTTCTTATGTTTAAATGGAGTTTCCTGTAATTGTTTGTGATCACTGCCTCTTGCCCATTGTCATTGGACACCAGGGAGAAGAGTCTGGCTCCATTTTTATGTCTTCCCTGATATATCTTTGTATCCGGCATTCTAAGGGGAAGGATCACCTCTCTTGACCTGTTGGAAATGCTGTTCCCGATGCGGCCCAAGGTGGTGTTGGCCTTCCTAGGTACAAAGGGGTCATTGCTGGTTCATGTTGAACTTGTTTCTCACCAGGGTCCACAGGTACTTTTCTGCAAAGCAGACCGTGAACTCTGTGAGATCCTGATAGCCCATTTCTCCACTCTTGAGGTCCCTCTGAATCACTGAGCAGCCATCTGATGTATCAACCACTCCTCCAGGTTTTGGATTGTATGCCATCTTGCTGAGGTTGCACCTCAGTCCTGTTATCCAGGTCATTAATGGAAGTGTTGAGCAGTACTGGCCACTGGGATACTCCACCAACATCTGGCCTACAGCCGGTCTTTGGATCACTCTTCAAAACCCTGTGGACCTGGCAGTTCAGCCAGTTTTGAATCCCCTTCACTGTTCACTTATCTAGCTTGTACTTCCTCAGCTTGTCTATGAGACTTTTATGAGAGATCATTTTGAAAGCCTTGCTAAAGTCGAGGTAAACAACATCTGCTGCTCTCCCTTCATCCACTGAGCTAGTTACTCCATTGCAGAAGGCTATCGCTGCTTAAGCCTGATTTCCCCTTTGTAAATCCATGCTGGCTACCCCAGATCATCATCATCTTGTCTTTAACATGTTTGCACGTGTTTTCCAGGATTATTTGCTCCGCCACCTTCCCAGGAATTGAGGGGAGGCTGAATGGCCTGTAGTTTTCTGCATCCTCCTCCTTGCTCTCCTGGAAGAAAGAAATGACGCTTGCTTTCTTCCAGCACTGTGGAACTTACCCTGATCTTCATAGCCTTTCAAACATAATTGAAACTGGAGCCTTGGTTTCATCTATCCTTCTGGAATCTCTGGAAATGAATTTTGGATGATAGTGTTAGGTTTTATTTCTATATATATATATTTATTTTTTTTAACCAATGCTAGGGTTTTCTTGTTAATCATCCACTAGAATAGCTTGACTTTTTCTTTTCCCCTCAGAAGCAATGAAGAGAGTAATTAATGGTTAACTTTCACAATCAGTTTTTCCATCGACCATTTCAGGTATGTTCCTTTCTGTCTGTTGGAGCATAATTGTTCAGAGAGAGCAACTTTGTTTCTTTAACTTCTAACAAGATGTAGGTGCCTCTTCTAACAGTAAGGGACAGCAGTCACATCTCAGATTGGATCTTTGAAAGTTTTGCGTAAATATTCTTTAAATATATAAAAGCAAAAATACAGGCTTTATTATGTAGTCCCAGGTGGTAATAGTCATTTACTAAAGTCACATCAATCTTCCACTTTTGATACAATAAAACCTCACTTTCAACTGAAGCAGAGGAAAGCTTTCCATTTGGAAGACTCTTCTGAGAGTCCTTCTCCATCCTTCTAAATATCTAAAGTAAATTTATCTCACCAGATTTGATAATCTAAGTCTTAGAAAACATCATCTCCAGGGCAATCGTAGGTCGCCTTGTATGCGTGTGTCATATATAGACAGATTGAAGTACCCACTAGAGATTCCTGTCTTTGTCTACTGACTATAGAAGGATTCCAGGCAGCTAGTTTAGACCAACAACCAGTTGAAAGACATCTGAAATTAGGTGAGAGGAACCTATTAAGCTATTCCAGTAGCTTAAAGATGAGCATCACTGCTTTCATGTTTCTTGAGTTACTTCTTTTCTGAAGATTTTTCAAATTATGAGTTGTTAACTTATTTACAAGTGAAAGTACATTTTGCACTTGCAATTACTTACTAGTGTTTTTCAGAGGTATTAGTAACACTTATAAAATTGCATTAAAAACAGACTTTCTGCATATGCCGTCAGTGAAAACAAGAGGGCAATATAGTGACTTATTTTTACCATTGTAGATAGGTTTTGAAATGAATTTTTATTTAATTAATTTTGTTCAGGATTTTGAAGCTAAAGAGTTAAGGAAAAATAATCATTGAGAGGAACTATAGACAACTTTTAACCTGTGCTGGAGGTTATCTTAAGTACATGTCAATACCAGTATGGAGCCCAGTGAAAAGCCTATACAATGATCCTTACCATTAAAATGGTGCAAGTCAGAATTAAAATGTTGTGTTTTTGTGGGGTTTTTTTTAAATGTATAAAATGAGACTCCCACATTCATGTCCAGATACATAATAAAGGACTTAATTAACCCTTCCATGGCCACTTAAACTGCATATTATTCAATTGAACAAGCACTCATCCTCCCCAACTTATTGGTGTAAATCAATAGCTATCAATAGAAATGTTAGTTTTGTGTGTGGATTAAGTAACCACTTATTTCAAAATACGGTTAATAGCATTATAATAACCATTCCCACAGCTGTTTTAAAATCATAAAATTATAGAATGGTAAGGTTCGGAAAAGACCTTAAGATCATCTAGTTCCAACCCTCACACTAGACCATGTTCCCAAGGTTCTGTCCAGCCTGTCCTTGAACACTGCCAGGGATGGAGCATTTACCGGTTATTTGGGCAGCCTGTGCCAGGGCCTCACCACCCTCACAGTAAAGAACTTCTTCCTTATATCTAACCTGAACTTCCACTGTTTCAGTTTAAACCCATTCCCCCATGTCCTATCACTACAGTCCCTGATGAAGAGTCTCTCCCCATCCTTGTAGGACCCTTCAGATACTGGAAGCTGCTCTGAGGTCTCCATGCAGCTTCTCTTCTCCAGGCTGAACAGCCCCAGTATTCTCAGCCTGTCTTCATAAGGGAGGTGCTCCAGCCCCTGACCATCCTTGTGGCCTCCTCTGGGCTTGCTCCAACAGCTCCGTGTCCTCCTAGTGTTGTTTCTAGAAACTAAAGAATAAAATATTAAAGATGGCAAGTGTTTCTTCTGGGTCAAATTTGGTATTGGTGGATTGAGAGCAGTGTTCCTCGTTTATGCATGCCGTGAAAATATAATGTGTATTATACAGCGGTTTCCTATCTCTGTGTGTATGGTGCTGTGGTGGGTGTTCAACTTTAATACATTTAATTATAGATCTTTAAGGGTGATACTAAGACTAGAAATGAAAACAGTTCTGTTTTGGGGATTCTTTTACTTCTGCTTTAAATTTCAATAGCTTTTGCAGACTGATTACATCCCTCTTAACTTTAAAATAACAAATTTGAGTTCAAAATTACATAGAAAATGATCATTCTGATTTGGAAATTATATAGCACCATTCCCATCTCCTGAATTCACAGTATTGCATAACACTAGGATGTTCACCTGATTCCTGAACTACTTGCAAATTGACTGTGTTGAAAATTGAGCTTGATATACATTGTCTCATGTGTTACCTCTCTAGAAGATGAGACATAATGACATAAAATAACAGAATGAAGCTACTGTGTGTCATCTTCAATGCTTTACTCGATGTCTACGAACGCAGCTCTTTAAAGAGAAATCTTCTGTTATTCCTAGTACTGCATGTTTGTTGATAAACTTAAGTTCTCACTTTTTAACCTTGGCTGATGTCCTGCAGTTATCATAGAATGGTTTGGGTTGGAAAGGACCTTAAGATCATCTAGTTCCAACCCCCCTGCCGTGAGCAGGG